CCTCCTCTCCCTCTCTCTTAGTCTCCCTATTGTTCTTTCCTTCTCCCTCCCTCTCTCACTCTCTCCCTCTTCCTTCCCTTTCCTTTTTCCTCTCTTTCCTTCTCACCCTCTCCCTCCCTCTCTCCATTTCTCCCTCTAACTCCCTCCTTTTCCCACCCTGTCTCCTTCTATCCTTCACTTTCTCTCTCCCCCTTCTCTCTCTCTCTCCCCTCTCTCCCTTACTCACTCTCCCATTGTCTCTCCCCTCTCTCCTTTTTTCTATCTACCCCTCTCTCTCTTACCCTCTCTACCCCACTCCCTTTCTCTCTCCCTTTCCATCTCCCTTATGCTCTCTCTACCCCTTTCCCTCTCTCTCCCTCTTCTTCTCCATATCTCTCCCTTTCCCTCCTTCCCTCTCCCTCTATCTCCCTCTCTCCCTCTCCCTTACCCTCTTTCTCTCTTCCTTTTTATCTCTCTCTCTTTGTCCCACCCTCTCTTTCTCCCTCTCCTTCCTTCTCTCTCCCTCTATCTCCCTCTCTTTCTCCCACTCTAACTCCTTTTCCCTCTCCCCCTATACTTCCTTCCCTCTCCCTCTCTCTCCCTTTCCCTTACCCTCGCTCTCTCCATCTTTATCTCTCTGTCTTTCTATCCCACCCTCTCCTCCTCTTCCTTTAACTCTAACTCCCTTTCCCTCTCTCCCTCCCTCTCTCCCCCTTTACCTAGCTCCCATCTTTCTCTCTTTTCTCTATCTCTCTCTCTTCTTTTTGTGTCTTCCCTCTCTATCTCCTTTCCCCTCTCCCTAACCCTCTCCCTTTGTCTCTTTCTCACCCTCTCTTGCATTCTCTCCCCTTTTCTCCCTCTCTCTCCCTCCCTCCCTCTCCCTCTCCCTCTCCCTTTCTCTCCCTCTCTCTTTCTCTTTCTCCCTCCTACCTTCTCTCTCCTTTTATCTATCTCTTTATCCCTCCCTCACTCTCTCTCCACTTTTCCCTCACTTTCTCTCTCTCCTTTTCTATCTCTCCCACTCATCCTCTCCCTTCCATTTCCTTCCTCCATCTACCTCTATCTCTCCCTCAATCTCCCTCTCTCTCCCTCTTTCTATCTCTTCCTTTGTCTCTTCTCACTCTCTCTCGCCCTCTCTCATTTTCCTCTCCCTCTCTATCTCTCCCACTCGTCCCATTTTCTATCTCTTTTGCTCCCTTCCTCCATCTATCTCCCTCTCTCTCTCTCTTATGCCTTCGTCACCTTCCTCCCTCTACCAGCCTCTCTCTCTATCTCTTCCTCTCTCCTTGCCTTATCTCTCTCTTTCCTCTACCTCTCTCTTCTTTTCTCTCCCTTACCTTATTTTTCTTTATCTCCCTCTCCCTCTTTCAGCCTTCCCTCTCCCTTTCTCTCTTGCTCTCTCTCTCTCCCCCTCCTTTTCTCTATTTTACCATCTTCCCCCTCTCTCCCCTTCTAACAACCTCCCACTCTCTTCCATTCACTTCATCTCTCTCTCTCTCTCCTTCTTTCTCTGCCCTCCTTTCTCCCTTCTCTCCCTCTCATCCTCTCATTTTCCCTTTCTATTGTTCTCCCTATCTCCCTTCCTCTAGCCCTTTCCTTATTACTCTCCCTCTCTCTCTCCATCTCCCTCTCTCCCTCTCCCTCTCTTCATCATCATCGCCTCCCTCTCTCTCCCTCTCCCTCTCCCTCTCTCTCCAAATCGCTCCCTATCTCTCTTTCCCCCTCTCTCTCTCCTTTTCTCTCCCTCTCTCACTCCATCTCTCCCTCAATCTAAAACTCTCTCTCTCTCCCTCTTTCTTCCTCACCATCTCTCTCTATCTCTCTCCCTCTCTATCTACCTCTTTCCTCTTTCTTTCTCTCTCCCCTTCTCTCACTCCCTCCCTCCCTCTACTACTCTCCCTCTTTATCTACCTCTTTCCTCTTTCTTTCTCTCTCCCCTTCTCTCACTCCCTCCCTCCCTCTATTACTCTCCCTTTCTATCTACCTCTTTCCTCTTTCTTTATCTCTCCCCTTCTCTCACTCCCTCCCTCCCTCCCTCTATTACTCTCCCTCTCTATCTCCCGGTCTCCCTCCCTCCTTTCCCTCTCACCCTCTCCCTCTCTCTTTCTCCCTTCTCCCTCCCTCTTCATCGCTCTTCGTCTCTATCTCTCTCCTACCACTCTCCCACTCTCCCTTTCCCTCTCTTTAAACCTTTTTATGCTCTACATGCCTCTCCCTCTCCCTCTCTCACCCCCACTTCCCCCTCTCTCCCTCTCTTTCCCCCTAATCCCTTTCTCATCCTCTCACTCTTTTTGCCTTTTCTTGCTTTCTCCCTTTCTATCACTCTCCCACTCTCTCTTCTTCTCCCTCCCTCCCTCTCCCCATTACTCTCCCACCTTTTTCCTTTCTCTCTCGCACTCTCCCTCTCTCTAACTCCCTCTTCATCCCTCTCCCTCTCCCTCTAATCCCTCTCCCTCTCCTTCTCTCTTTCTCTCTCCTTCTTGGTCTCTCCCTCTCCCATCCTCTCTCTCACTCCTCTTTCCCTCTCTCTATAAACATCTTCCTATCCTTCATTTCCTCTTTCTCTCTATCCCTCTCCCTCTCTTTGTTCCACCTTCTTGGCCTTTGACCCTCTCATTCTCTCCCTATCCCCCTCTCTTTCTCTCTTTCTTTATCTATCCCTCTCTCCTCTCTCCAACTCTCCCTCTCCCTCTCTTTCTCTTTCTCTCCCCCTTTCCCTCTCTTGCTCTCCCTCTTCCTTCCTCTCTCTCTCCCTCTTTTTTCTCTTTCTTTCCCTCTCTCACTCCCTCTCCCTCACTCCACCCTCTCCATGTCCTTTCGTCTCTCTCTCCTTCTTCATTTCCCTTCCACTCCCACTCCTTCTCTCTCCCCTCTCCCTCTCTCTCTTTTTCTCCTTCTCTCTCTTCCCTCTCCCTCTCTATCCATCTATCTACCTATCACTCTCTCCCTTTCCATCACTCCCACCATCTCCCTCTCCCTCCCTTTTAATATCCCTATCTTTCTCTCCTTCTCCCTCTTTCCTCGCTATCTAAAGGATCATTCATCCTATGGAGGCACGGAATGAACAAAAAAAAATTTCCTCCATCTAAAGGCCCGAGATCAAGGCGTTGAATCCACAAGCCATACATACATGAACATTAAAATATCAATAAAGGATTACCTCTTGTAGCACAAATGTAAATTCCTTTTTCAAAAAAGCCATCCAAGTGTTCAGCCTCCATTGATGATCTATATAGTCCAAGTATCCACAAAGAAGCACTCAAAATCAATCGTGTTAGCTTCATTTTTTCGATTTAGTATTTCTTCTAGAAATCAATCTCGGGCAATTTTACGACAACCTTAAAGGAGAAAAAAATAGTATAGCTTGTAAGGGTTTAGGAGAAAACTATTTGCTCCTTATTTATCTCTCTTGGCCGTGTGCCCTCTATTATTTTTAGGATTGGCTAAAACTCTCTCTCTCTAAAATCCGAGTGTTGGCTCAATTTTCTCTTCCTTCTATATATTTATAAGAGAGTTTCCTTGTCCTCTAAAGATAAGGAGAGGGGCGGCAATGAGTCCATAAAGAACTCTAGGTTATTGCTTCTTTATCCTCCAAGGATGAAGAGTTATTTTACAAGTGGACTTTTTGATCATTATCTTTAAAACATTCAACCTTATCCAATAAGGTTAATGTTTATCCTCCCACCAAAATATCTTAAGGCTTTTAATTAAACCTAATGGGCCAACACTATTTTAGGTCAATTAATTTATTTGGACTATCTAAATAAATATTCTTGAATTGTTTTGGTAGGGTCCATACAAGGAAACAATTTTCCAAAATACCCTTTTAACCTAAATTAGGAAAATCCTTTCCTTTTAGGTTTTTTTTCCCAAATTTGAAACTAACTTCCAAATTAGGAAATCAATTTCTAAAATTGAAAACTTTTCATTTGAGGAAACTTCCTAATTAAGGAAACTTTCATACTTGGAAATTTTTTCCAATACTTTGCTTCTCATTTATAATGTGAATATCTAAAATTATGTGTGTGACTCAATAGGCTCCTAGATATGTTGGTAATGTATCAAGAATAAAAGTCTCCTATTTTATCTCTTAATACATAAATCAAGATTGGCCTTTAGCAAGGCATCATGACTACCCAATTGCCTATGAGGATTAGTTAATCTATTATTACCTTTCAAGAGCATGGTTACCATGTAATTCGAGTCCTCATGTCGACTTATCATAGTGTGATCTCAAACTTGATTATTAGTCTTGTTTGATTATGATCACAAAAGTTTTTTTTAGATTCCCAAGTGTCTTAGATCTTAGAATAAACCAACCATACTCTATTGGTGTACTCCTACAATGGCCACGGAATTTTCAAGCGGACATTTATCGAAGTGCAATGTGATAACTCCTTTAGCATACAAGGAATGACATGTCCTATCTTAGCCATACACCTATCTACGTTGGATTCCTAATGCACCTATTGAATCACCCACGTGCAACCTATTAATGGGTCAATCGAAAAGAGTGTCAAAGTGCATAAGTCCTCCAATAAGATAACTATGATAACATCAAGTCTAATGATCATTTGTACTCATCTCATATGAGATTCCCATAGAAAAAACCAAATGGGTTATCATGGCGAGTCAAGTCCAATGATATGTTCTCTAACATAAATGACTTAAATGCTTGCTTTGGCATCACCATGTCAATAGATCTCCTACTGCTATCATATAGCATGAGGATAGCACTCACAAGTCTATATGGATATTGTTAATGTTCATTCTTGACAATGCTATGCTATGACATAGGATGTTTCATGATATCATTTATATGCATTAGTGTGTGTCTCACATCTTTCGATCAATCACTATTGCAATCGCATATAACAAGTACTTCTATTTAATTCTACTAAATTTATAAACATTTAACCATAAGAATTAATAGAATGACTTCTTTATTATTATTAAAATAAATAACACAATAATACATTAACATTAGCCCATCCAAATATGGTTGGATCTTAGGTACCAACACTAACACTCTCTCCCTCTTCCTCTCGCCTTTCCCTTTTCCTCTCTTTCCCTCTCGTCCTCTCCCAAACTATCTCTCCCCCTCTCTCCCTCCCTCCCTCCCTTTCTCTCTCTCTTTCTCCCTCTAACTCCTTCCCTTTCCCTCCCTTTCTCCCTTTATCCTTCTCTTTCTCTCTTTTCATCTCCCTCTCTCTCCCTTCCTCTTGATATACCCAAAAGTGTACTAGAAATCAATAGGCAAATTACTCGCAAGTGCACAAGGTAATTATAGTACAAGTGAGTTAACCAAGGTCGTATTCTCAAGGAGATGTAATTGGCATAAAATAATTCAATTCCAAATGTAAACAATAACAATGAAATAAAATCCTAAACACTCTAAACCAGTTTGCATTTGATGATTATAAATTAAATTGAGAACGTAGAAGAACTACAGAAGTAATCATAACAGAATTAGGAATAAAGATCAAGATGAGAGAATTCTTGAGAATATAACTTCACCGATTAAATCCTATATTTAATCAAAATGACTTAAATGATTATTCATGCGAATCTCTTCACCAAGTTACTTGGATCTCTCATTGATAACCTAGTGTCTATGATTCTTTAGTCTAACATTGAGTTATATTTGATCAATATCAACCCAATACCACGGATATATAATTGTTAGCCAAACATTCACATATAAATAATCCCAAAATCATAGATGCAAGACAAGAATAATGAAATTAACCATTCAATTAAACATATTCAAATAAAGGATCCATTAATTCTTAATATAGAAACTAGTTCATAGTTGATAGATAAACATCCACCGAATTAATCACAATAAATTCCATGTCTTCACAATCAAGAATTGAAAGCAATAAAATCGAGTTTAGGAAGAAATGCGGTTTTGCTTTGTTGCGACTGTGGTTGATCTCTTTCTAGCTTAGGCACCCATTTTTTCCTCGATCTTCTATCCGTCTTCAATGGCTATCCGGAGAGAACAAAGGCTACCTGGAACTCCCTCTCTTTTTCTCACCACCCCCTCTCTCTATCCAATGTGGGATTTAAAATAGAGAGAGCTACCCCCTATCCTCCTTAAAATCCTCCTAAATATCTTCCTTTTTTCTCTTTTTGTGTCGATCCATAAACTTTAATCCTTGAAAATTTGCTTACGGTCGTGGGCTTTTCTTCCCTTTTTAAGCTCACGGGGTGGCTTTTCTTCCTTTTGAAGCTCACGGTCGTGGGCTTTTCTTCCCTTTTTAAGCTCAAGGGCGTGGGCTTTTCTTCCTTTTGATGCTCACGATAATGGGCTTTTTCTTCCTTTTGAAACACGCGGTCGTGACCTTTCTTCTTCTTGTTGGATCATGGCCGTGAGGCCTTCTTCACCTTGGGAGTCGTGACTCTCCCTTCCTTTCGTTGAGTCACGGCCATGACTCAAAAAGTCATGGCCGTGACATTCGCAATCCTTTAATTTGTTCCTTGAACCTAATTCAAACGTAAATCGGATCAAACACTCACAATACATTAAAAATATACTAAAAATAATGATATTGATAAACTAAAAATAATAAACAAATCACATAAAAACTTACTAAAAACCTAGAATTATTTTATAGAATTTAATATAAAAATATTAAAATAATATATAAACAATAAACACAACAAAATTCCCCACACTTAAACCTTGCTTGAACTCAAGTAAAGAGACAATAAATAGCAAAGGCTACACACATAACGATACATACTTCTCATATATAACGAAATCTTGGCATAAATAAAAGTGAGCTTCAAGTAAGTACAATAAAACTTCATGAATGAACAATCAATACAAAATCAAACTCTAGAAATAAAATCGTTCAACTCATAGAGCGATCAATTATCTATACAAGAAAGTCACTCATCTCATAGTTCACTCAAGTGTTTAAGGGATAATGAAATTTCACTCAACGTTCAATTTATAAGAAAATGCTACCATATGGTTACTTCTTCATCCAATCACTACCATTATTATCAATTAGATGCAAAAATTAGAAGGTCTTTATTCGGGGTTATAATGGGACTCGGGCTAAAGGTATGAAATTTAGGAAAGAAGAGCTAAACCAAAAACTAACAGAGCAATCAAAACTTAAACAAATAAATTTATTCACAATGATGCACAATTCCCTCTAGATCTTGGGTCCTCTCGCAAAGTTTTTTTTTTTTGTTTTTTTTTAGAGGTAACTAGCGTGCTTTTATCCTCCATCTCGACTCAACCACTTTGATTCTTACTTACAACCATAGTTTAACTTTTATATTTCCCACATTTCCCCATACTTTTTATGTGCATATTTTTCCAAACAAGACTAAACCATATTTCAATTGCTCAATTAGCCCTACTATAGGTGAAACAGATAATTTAAGAAAAAGGTTAGGGCTAATATTCGGGTATTCAAAGAAAAGGATTTTATCCAAGTCTCAAAGAGGTTCTCTAAAGGTTAAAATAGGGTTTCCTTTTTAAGTCACGTGGTTAATTCCTAATGTGCCTTCATCATATTTAAACATGCATGTAAATAATTTATTTATCTTTTGAAAGGTATTCATAAGCAAGTTCTAGAGCATCCTAAGCATAAACGAACTCTCTCTTACAAGAAACTAGAGATTATCAAAATACAATAAAAAGATTTGGCTCAAAAGCTCAAAATTGATTTTTTTTTTTTTTAGTACAAGAAATTGATGCTCATAGAATTAAAAGTCAAAGCTCTAAAAGTTTAAGAATTCAAGACATTCATTCAATTATTTTATAATCCCTTTTTTTCTCAATTTTATTTATCACCGTGCCTAAGGAACTTAACATTGTATATAGGAAGTACGAACAAAATGAGTGAAACCAACAAAGAAATATATATATTTTTTATTATAATACCCAAATTCCCCACACTTTAAAAACACACATTGTCCTCAATGTAAGCAATAAATAAGAAGCAGAAAGGAAAAGCACAACTCCCTTGAAATTGATGAGCTTCAAGACGGAGGCGGTTGTTGCGAAGGGCTAGGAAAGTACGGGCCAAGGCGAGCATCCAAGTTGGCCATGAAAGTCCGTAGTTGGTCCATACCGGTTTCTAAGTGTTGAAATCGAGAATCCACGAGCTTGTTGGAACTCCCGAAAATGGGTCTCATGCTCCCTATATCGCCTTCGAATGGTTGTTAACACCCAATTTTGGGTCCAAAAAAAAGGAAAAGAGGAAAAGAAAAAATGAAGGAAAGAGAAAAGATGCAATTGGGGGCACAATTGAAAAAGAAAGGAGAAAGGAGCCAACATAAAGGGAGTTTGTAAAGTGAGGGAGCAAAATGACCTTTAGCCAAAAAAACCATAAAAAAATACCTAGTATAAAAACACCCCTTTTTTTCTCAAAAAGGGAGGCAACGACTATTCACTATTGCTAAAAAAACCTAGTCGAAGCTCTTTTAAACCTAGCCGCCAGCCCCTTACCAACAAGTAGCCACCAAGCACGCCGAGCCGGCGCCCGACCACTAGCACGCCAAGCCAACCACAGGCTCGCCGGCGCCCGACCACTAGCACGCCGAGCCAACCACCAGCCCCGCCGAGCCAGTCACGAGCTCGCCAATGCCCAACAACAAGCACGCTGTGCCGCCTACACGCCCCCGGTGCTTAGCCACCAAGACGCCGCAGTGCAGCCCACCACCCGTAGCAGGCCTTCTCACGCTCCACCGGCGAGCCATCTTTCCTCCTCGATTGACGAAGCATTAGTCTCTATCGAGGTTGAAAAGGTTGGATCCGACTTCAATATCATCAAGGAAATCGAGCCATCCTTTTTTTTTACGATAATCTCTTTCACTTTTACTTTATTTTATTTTTACTTTTTGACATATATTGAATTTGATTCATGCCGATATGTGTTGTGTAAATTAAATGGTTGTGTTATGTAATGATATGATATGTTGTCTATGGGTTATTTATCCACTTCGTGGTGTGCATGTTGTTATATTCGCAATTTGGTGAATAATACATTGGCTTCGATATTTGGATTCGGTGTATGCGTATTTTTTTTAAAAGTACATTTTGTATGAAAATTTTATAAAACGGACGTCGAACCAAGCAAAGTTGAAATGTTGTCATGTAGCTCTTCCTTTCTTCAAACATGATTATTATGCATACCAAAGTAATAAATTTCATCGATTTTTTTGTACTTTTTCTATTTTTGGTCAAATTGTCAATTCTTGTCAATTTTTGCCTATATGTTTTCATTTTGTTGATTTTAGCCTATTTTTGCCTAAAGCCGTCAATTTGTGTTTTTTGTTGCGGATTTTAGCCAAAGTTCGTGGCTTTTGTTTTTCGTTGTCGATTTTAGCCGTAACTATGACTTTCGTTTTTTGTTGTCGATTTTAGCCAAAATCGTGGCTTTCGTTTTTCGTTGTCGATTTTAGCCAAAGCTATCGCTTTCATTTTTTGTTGCCGATTTTAGCCAAAACTCGTTGCTTTTGTTTTTTTGTTGTCGATTTTAGCCCAAAGTTGTGGTTTTCATTTTTTGTTGCCGATTTTAGCCAAAGTTGTTGCTTTATTTTTTCGTTGTCGATTTTAGCCAAACCTATGGCTTTTGTTTTTCGTTATCGATTTTAGCCAAAGCTCGGCTTTCATTTTTTGTTGCCAATTTTAGCCAAAGTCGTTTCTTTTGTTTTTTGTTACCGATTTTAGCCCAAAGTCGTGGTTTTCATTTTTTGTTGTTGATTTTAACTAAAGCTATTGCTTTGTTTTTTCGTTGTCGATTTTAGCCAAAGTTGTGGCTTTCGTTTTTCGTTGTCGATTTTTAGCCAAAGTTGTGGCTTTCACTTTTTCGTTGCCGATTTTAACCAAAGCTATTGCTTTGTTTTTCGTTGTCGATTTTAGCCAAAGTCGTGGCTTTTATTTTTCATTGTTGATTTTAGCCAAAGCTTTGGCTTTCGTTTTTCGTTGCCAATTTTAGCCAAAGCTATGGCTTTTGTTTTGCGTTGCCGATTTTAGCCTACTTTTGCCTAAAGCCGTCGATTTTTGATTTCATAACCGACTTTATCCCATTTCGCCAAAGTTGGCGATTTTCGCCTATTTTTGCCCAAGTTGTCGATTTTTGCCCAGCTTTGCCTATGTAGCCGATTTTAGCCTATTTTTGCCCATGGTTGCCTATGTTTGCCTATTTCTACCTATGATTGCCTATTTTGCCTA